CCACCAACCCACGAAGGCAAGTAATAACACCTCTATGATGATAGTCATTCGCAACAGATATTATGCTTTCGTCCGTGTCCCGAAATATCAACTTGTGGTTGATGATCGGCAGTAAGTTGTTCGTAGTACATTTCGCGGCCCCCATGCACTCTACGGAGCACTTTAGCTTCCATACCAGTGGGTGTGGCATTCCCAACTCGATCTGAATTCGTCGATAAGCTGCTTCCGCGGACTTGTATCGTGTTCGTTGTTGACCCTACAGTAAACTGGCCACATAGCGGAAGTCTCGCAATTCCTCTGTTATTCAAGCGACCGACGTAACAGTCTTCGAACCACCCAAGAAGCGGCTGTAGATCGTCCCGAAGTTCTTCAGCCAGTCGGTCGATTGCTTCGTTCAATGCAGTAGTTAGTACAAACGCCAGTGTTATCACCTTCGCTTTCAATGCGAAGCCAGCATCGGCAATGCATGCACCGAGCAAATGCAGTGCGCCCAAAAGCTTCTTCATGTTGTCACTCAAATGGCAGAAACAACCACTGAGTTGAACAATGTGAATGGTTCTTCATTGCATGCATCAGAGCAATTTCGAAATCACAAGAAATCGAATTCGGATGAAGTTCCAGTATTGCTGTTCTTAACATCTGAAAGAGCGTGTTCTATGTCGCCGCCTGACTGTCTTGCAATACAACAGGATGGACTCCACCAAACCTATCTGAAAGCACTGTATGGGATTGAAAGAAAAGTAACGGTGCAGATCGAAATGTTTCGCGGGCAAAACACGTTCTGGACTCCCTCTAGAACTGCAGGTTTCCCTGCGTGTCAAAAATCAATAATCGATTTGATTCAGTTCCAACGTCACCAATCGAAAACGATTATAAAATGTTTGGCTGCAGTTCATACCTTTTATATGATTCCGGCAGAAGTAGTGTCTCTAAATTGATGGGAGCTGGCGCAGCGCGTTTAATTCATTTCTTCTGCGCATTTCAATTTTCATAAGTGCTCAAAGCTTTTGAAGTGAACCCTGAGCTCCTTGAGACAATCCAATCGCGCACTCGTTTAAAATTTGCATGGGCGCTCTTGTATGCTGTCTTCGGCATGTCTTTTGATCTTCGTCACAAGTTCTGCAACTTCTACGCCCGCCACCGAGCCATCATGAAAAAGTTCACCAATCTTCGTAACAACAGTTGCACCTGCTGTGTGTATCCTTCCTTTGCACAAACTCCTGTTAACAGCGCAAAAACTTCTTTGTTCCGTTAGCACCGCTCCTGTCAAAGACGTAGCAAACACCCTGACGATAAATTCTTCCGGTCTCGTTCTGAAAGCATCACTGCAAACACCCTCGACATATTCAATGGACCATGTTTCCTCATACTCCGGTGCATTTCATGTGCATACCATAAGCAAAGATGGAAACGTGATAGTGGAAATGATCTGTCCAGATGGTGTTAGTTTACGATGGCTACAACGATACTTAGAATTAATGACCTTGCATAGTTATAAGAGGGAACCAAATGAAAGATAATTATTGGAAATGCATAAATTTGGTACCCGGAAAGTTCACCGACAACAATTCTCCCCGACTGGAAAATTCACCGACCAGCAATTCGTCGAACGGAAAATTC